AAAAAATTCGCTGTACCTAAACTTTATTGACTGACTGTATGTACAATTAAAAATAAATTTAATAAATTTAAATTCAATAATTTGTTACTTACCAAAAGCTTAAGGAAACTCGCGTTGATTATTGGTATTTAGTTGTAGTGCCATTAGGCGAATGTTGTTTTTGTTTGGCTTAAAATTAATCCTTTTTTTAAGAATCCCTGCAGATCTATGGTATATATATTGCTATTTGACGAGCTATGTATGTAGAAGCATTTGCTGTTCTATTGGCGCCGTGTAAAGTCGCCTTTCAAAGTACTACATAAGTTTGTAAGTTCCGTTTTGGTGCATACGTTGGGTATATTGCGCCGATCATTCATTAATTTGTACAAGCATAGATGCATGTAATCGTATCTAATGTATAAGGAACATTATTCCGCTATGGTCACTTTTGCAGCAGTTTTATCGCTTTCTACTCTTTTTAATTGCATCCGTTTCAAATTAGTTCGGAGAATAGCGTTGTCTTTACTTTCTAGCGCAGGAGCCAACAACCTTTTTTATCTCTAGCTTTTGGAAAGAGTCCTTACTATATACATGCCTCTACAAAACAGATATTTATCTTAATTGTTGATTTTCTTTTGTTATTTATGTATCCCTTCTCAAGAGAGATTGGAATTTCTTTCAACAAAAACCAATAAATTACGATACTTTAACCGTCAACTTTTTTCAGAATACGAATGAATGGAGACTGGAGTTAAGAGGGCGTGGGGTGTTTGTACATACATATGCATACCGCGGAACACATGTATGCACATACCTATGTTCATATGTAAGCTTGTTTTACTTTATATAAAATTGTTAAGTTAGATTGCATTTAAGCAGCTGGTGAATGAAAGTTCGAGTGTTTAAATTTAAATATTTAGTAGTTAGTTAGCTGACCCCTGTAGTGTAGTGATTAGAGGAACGGCCTGCCATTACGCAGGGCCTGGGTGCAAGCCAGAGCTATAAAATACTTCAATCAAACTGGATTACAATCGCAAAATATACTTTATATTGAAATTTGTTTTGATTGTGAAAATTGCAATAGTTTCGATTGGAATCCAATTTGTAGCACAGTCATTGATTGCTAAGTAAAATTATTGCAATTTTTTACACCTCTGTTNGATTACAATCGCAAAATATACTTTATATTGAAATTTGTTTTGATTGTGAAAATTGCAATAGTTTCGATTGGAATCCAATTTGTAGCACAGTCATTGATTGCTAAGTAAAATTATTGCAATTTTTTACACCTCTGTTAAAGCCCGGTATCACCTTGAGAATATTACAAAAAGTATTAAAAAATAAAGTTNTATACTTTATATTGAAATTTGTTTTGATTGTGAAAATTGCAATAGTTTCGATTGGAATCCAATTTGTAGCACAGTCATTGATTGCTAAGTAAAATTATTGCAATTTTTTACACCTCTGTTAAAGCCCGGTATCACCTTGAGAATATTACAAAAAGTATTAAAAAATAAAAAGTTTTTTTTTTTTATAATACCGGTCGCCCATCAGCAGGTAAGCCGCCGGGTGTATTTCTGCCATGAAAACGCTTCTCATAAAAATATTATCGCCGTTTGGAGTCGGGGTAAAACTGCACGTACCTCCCTTTTGCGCACACCACAAATCGGAGTAGAAGCCGGGCCAAAAACTAACACATTGTGTAAGCGCCAATCTATTATTATTATTATGTATGTACATATGTATAATTTATGTACTTATAAACTTTCACAAAGGCACCTGTATACCGAGTGATGGCTATTAACAACCTCGGGATCCTTCTCAGTGACTTCGTGACCATGCGAAGATTCAGTGTCGCAACGATCTTTGTTTACCTTTTTGGTTTTTTTCATTCTCAATTATTCTTCGTTTCTTTTCGCAAAAAATTGCGAAAATTTTGCTTTTAT